ATATATATATATATATACTGTATACACACACACACACATATATATGCTTTATATGTAAACTTTACAGTCGATTACAAGTTATTAATATACGTACATATTCTTGTAATTCAATAATATAATTTAAAAAATTATAATTATTTTTTAATTATGATCAAATATAATTATTTCTTAATTATTTACTGTTTATGTGATAAATTCTTTATGTACAGTTCTACAATATATATAATATTTACGGTATGTATTTCTTTCATGTTTGTATAATATTTTAAGATTTTAATAACAATATTTTTGGGGGAATATGGCCAACATGTACATGAAAGCAAATGGTTGTTGCTACACAAGTTTGATTTTGACCAAGTTTATTTTTGTTTCGCTTTATTTTTAATGGCTCAAATATTTGAAGGTAGCTCTGTCGCCCCCTTGAGTAACAATATAATAAAGCCATAAGTATACATGACATGATTTACACAAATGAAGATGTGACTACTTGGTCCCTGGAATGCACACTAAGAACGTGCACTTACGTTTTGTTGTGTATTGCTTACAGACACATGGAACCCATGAAATTAGCTAGTGTTTGCTTTCACATGCTTGAACAGTGCCGTGACAGGCCTTAAGCGATGCATGTTTCGACATAAGACTTCTCACAGCTTCAGTTACATACTGAGATTGAATGAAAATGCAACTCTATTGAATTTAAACTCCATCCATCCATTTAGAACTAGATTTTCTGCATATTTTTGTCGCCTTGCTGTGCAGGTTTTCTTTTTGGTCGGCATGGACGCAACATCAAACATCAATTTAGAGGAAACATTTCTGCTCAGCATCATAAAATGAATCCATCAGTGCATCGCCTGCCATTCTTTCCCTTCTCATGCATAATGGATGTCAAACCAACCCGGTGATGGTGCGTAAGCTGATTTTACAGTGGGTACGGAAAGTATTCAGACCCCCTTAAATTTTTCACTCTTTGTTATATTGCAGTCATTTGCTAAAATCATTTAAGTAAATTTTCCTCATTAATGTACACACAGCACCCCATATTGACAGAAAAACACAGAATTGTTGACATTTTTGCAGATTTATTAAAAAAGAAAAACTGAAATATCACATGGTCCTAAGTATTCAGACCCTTTGCTCAGTATTTAGTAGAAGCACCCTTTTGATCTAATACAGCCATGAGTCTTTTTGGGAAAGATGCAACAAGTTTTTTTCCGTACCCACTGTATATGGAGAAACTGTAGTTAGGCCTCATTGAAGTGCTCCTCTGGTAGTCATTACAGGTCTGTTTTGTGAAGTCAGTGATATGTTTTGGGGAAGCCGGCCATTGGTTTGACGCAGGGCCAGATGCTGAATGAGCAGAGACGTGCCCCCCTCCACTGCTCCTCCGGCAGCTCTAGAGAAACGGAAACAGGAGATTTACATTGCCGCTATGTTGTTTGATGGCTCCCACATGTCGCATAATTTCAACAGGTTAAAATATGAGGGCTGCAGGACAGACTGATTGAGAGGGCATTTATTAGCCCCGGTTATGGTGGCTCTTACCATAAGATCCTCAGGCCAAGACAGGCTGGTCGATTTATGTCGCAATAAATAATCTATTTCACGTTAATTCTCCCATAAACCCCCTGCCTGTGATTACGCCAACCCTTCAGATACATAAATTTGTCACAGAGTACTTTTTCAACAACATCCGTTGGAACTGACAGCATGACATAACATGGGTCAGCAGCACTTACTGAATGGATGGCCTAAAGCAGCGGCTCTGTTCTGATAAAGTCATGGACAGCAGAGGAAAGAAGGAGAATGCTCTTTGTAAGCAATACCATGCAACTAATCATATAATTATGGATAGGATAGGATATTAAAGTTTGCATGGATTAATCATTGGCAATGGGATCAATAGCATGCATTTAGAAAATATGTATAACAGAATGAAAACAGAATGAAGAAGGGTAACATTTAATTTAATAGTGTGAAATATTCCTTTATTTTTAATATCACTGATATCCTTTTGTACTTTTGGTTAATATTTTTTTGTTCTATTTTCACTTTAATTTTAGCCAAAGCTTTAGAGTAAATGTGTGTTTTTGTAAATTTGTGCTAATTAATTTTAATAACTTTTATTTTTAGTTTATTTCGTTTTAGTACAAGTTAAACTGAACAAAAATGAGAAATGTAGACTTGGCAACTAGCTGAAATAAAATAAGTTTAAGGGTTTTATATTTTATTTCAGTTAACGTTTATATAGTTTCAAGTAAAGAATATGGTTTTTATGGTTTTAGTTTTAGCTAATGATAATAACCTTGATGCCAACTTCAAACTTTAAAAATGGTAACGACTACATAGACATGTTTTATTTGGAATAGCATGCACTAATGATTCATGCACAATAAGACGGAACATTCATTTGAAAAAGTAAATAGTGTCAAATATGTTTCATGTCACTTTAAAACTCTCTTATGTGTTAGTGCAGAATTTGTGGGCACTAAACATGCTCTTGTATTTCAGTCTGTGCCTAATGGTGGACATGGGGTCTACAGCTCTCTGGAGCAGGTTATTTACAAAGAGTAACTCTGTATGACTCTATTACTGTAGATTACTGTAGTGCCAGGCCCAGTACTGACCGGCGATATTGAGAAGTACAAACAGAGAGTCTCTCTCTTTCCCTGACAGCAGGAATGCTTCACAGAACAGTGCAACAGCATGCTAGTTTGGAATGGCTCCAGGTTTGCTCTCTATCCAGAGTCCAATGGCCAAAGGAAGATGAGGGGAGTTTTCAGGTCAGGAAACCTGCTTGAAAACAGTCATTATTTTTTTGTAATTCCTAAAATTTGGTGTTGCAGGAATTACATAATTTAAACGTAAAGTAAGTAAATATGGTCAGTTTTGATTTCGGAGCAGTGTGGATGCACTGCAAAGCATGATATTCTTACTGTTTTTGTCTTTTCTAGTAAAAAATATTTAAACATTGTTAAATCAAAATACGTTTTCTTGAGAAGCAAAATGACTTAACATTTCAAGTCTTGTTTTCTGATAAATGTATCAAAATTATGAGTTTATGCCTAAAACACGAAAAACATCTGCCAATTTGTAAAAATAAAAATAAACGTAATTCAGTGGGAAAACAAGATTATTTTTCTTACACATTAGCTGATTTATTTATTTATTTATTTTTTAAACATTTTGATCAATTTTACAAAAACGAGACTTAAAGGAATGATTCATAATTTGCTGACAGATTTGGAGAAATGTAGCATTACATCACTTGCTCACCAATGGATCCTCTGCAGTGAATGGGTGCCGTCAGAATGAGATTCCAAACAGCTGATAAAATCATCACAATAATCCACAAGTAATCCACACGACTCCAGTCCATCAATCAATGTGTCGTGAAGCGAAAAGCTACGTGTTTGTAAGAAGTCCATCGAGGCGTTTTAACTGTAAACCGTCTACATACCATAATAACATTTCATCCAGTTTTCCCCTCACATTAAAATCCACCAACATATTTGTTTAGAACGGTTTTGGACTTTTTTGCTTGTAAACACTTCTTGACCTGTGCATATTTCTCTCCTGTTTCAGATGAGACTTTTTCACTGGAGAAAGCAATATTATGGATAGAGGACTCGTATTTATAAGTATAAGTTAAAAATGTCTTGATGGATTAGTTGATTACAAACGCAGCTTTTTGGTTTGTGATTATTGTGATGTTTTTATCAGCTGTTTGGACTCTCATTCTGACGGCACCCATTCACTGCAGATGATCCACTGGTGAGCAAGTGATGCAATGCAAAAAAATTTCCAAATCTGTTTTGATTAAGAAACAAACTCATCTTGGCTGGCCTGAAGATGAGTATATTTTAAGCAAATTTTCAGTTTTGTGTGAACTATTCTTTTAATCTCTTAAGTCATTTTGCTTCTCAAGTAAATGTATCTTGCTTTTAAGTGTCACTTCTGTGTAATTTATTTATTAAAATAAATATGTCACACCGAGTCGAATAAGATTAAACATCTTTACTTGAACCGAAAGTACAATGAAGAAATATTCTTGTTTGTCTTGGAAGACAAAATGTCTATTTGTGAAATTGATGTCATTAACAACGCATACAAACATCAGCTAGATATAAACCAAGTTATAGGCTGATAATGGTCTCACGGTGGATTCTGAAGCATTATGTACAGTTTGTACAATAATAGCCAGTTCAATTGCATGACACATGCAAATGCAACTTCTTCCTAGGAATGGCATTTAAGATCAAGCATATCTACAAGAGAACAGAACTACAGGAAATTATCACGTAAAAAGCTTTTTTCTTTTTTAAATGAACACCATTCAGAAAGCCCAACAGCTTGTGTTCGTCATCCACATTAATGTTACACACTCCTAGTCTTGGATCATCTCGACATCCCTGTGCTTCTGCCAAAGGATTCTCTCTCTCTCCCCACGCTGTTCATTGTTCTTCAGAAGAACGTTTAAACTTCCTGAGGGTCTGTGATGAGAGCGCGTTTGTTGAATTTGTACGCAGAGAGCTCAATGGAGCGCTGCGTCATGTCAAAGCACACTGGCATCTCCGTGACTCTCCACCTCAACGCCGCTAGAAAAATACTCCTCCCTCCCGTTCATTCCTTCTCACTTTGATGGACAAACGCTGTCCGACACTCACCACCCTTTCCCAACAAGTATACACAGCAATGTCAAACCAACATTTTGTTTGTGCAAAGGCAACATTTTGTTTATGAGAATATAACGACAATAAAACAAAGCAACAACTATAAAACAGTCTCAGCCAAAAATGAAAAACAAAACAAAAAAGTACAATAGTGCAATTCTTCTCTTCTCTTCTCCTCCTTGGGCTTGTCCTTGTGGTTTTTCTAAGGACAGTTAGTGGCTCTGTCTCGTGTTGCTCTTGCCTGAGTTTGCTCTTCTCTCCAGACGCAAAAGCTGGTCCCATTGCTGGCACACACAGAAAAACATTAGTCACTTCCCATTGCCCTCTGCATCAGGGGCCTCTTTCCATATGCTCATTTAAAGGCTCTACAGTGGTAGATTTTATGTCAGCAGATCAAAGCCATAAAACACAGAAATTAATGACACTTTATTCAATGGCAAGTTTGCAGAAGAAAAAAATTTTCTTGCTAGATATTCTGTCTGTCTGTCTATCTATCTATCTATCTATCTATCTATCTATCTATCTATCTATCTATCTATATTTTGACACTTAAAAATATAAGAATGTAATTTATATATATATATATATAGTATATATAATTATATAGTATTTGGACATATATCAATGCTATTATATTAGCTAAAATGATATTAGCTTCATAAAAATAAGTTTGTTAGGTATAAAACTGTTCATACTTTAAATTAAAGACAAAGTTTGTGGAAGAAAAAATATTTTCTTACTAGACACTATGGCCACATAAATACATCTCCCTTTCTCTCTCTCTATATATATATGAACACATAAAAAATACTTTATGTATGTGTGTGTGTGTATATATATTATAGAAAATAACATTATGACTATATCTATCTATATCTATCTATATATATATATATATATATATATAGATAGATATAGATAGATATAGTCATAATGTTATTTTCCCTTATATATATAAAACTCAGATTATTAACATGATTCTTTACACCTGTGGCTACTCTGCTATATGACACCTTTGTGAAATTCAGGAGAACTGAATTCATACTTCCACGAAAAATCACCTTAAGACCCACTGATATTTTAAGACTAAAGTATCTAAATACTTTCTGGGGCCACTATAATGTAGTGAATGCAATTTTCATACCTTCACTTTCCGTCCCATTTTGTCTTTCCACTTCTGTGCAATGGATCTCTCAATGAGCAGCAGTCTGTGAGAGAAATGATTTATGAGAACAGGAATATAATC